GGGTTTAATGGGAGCTGATAGTTCATGTTCAGTGAGTGTTAGTAGAGTCAGAAGGGAACAAAAGTTCTGCTGGCTTTAAGAAATCCCTAAATAACTGTGGTGTTTAAAAATCTTTTTTATTGTCTTTCAGTTCAATCAATGTTCAGATCAGTTGAACCTCAGATTATATTTGGTTAACTTTAACTTATTATTGTTAATGCATTTTACATTTTACAAAACTTCGAAAGCAACTCCACTCTGTTTAAAATGTAATCTTGGGCTGATAAGTTATTTTAAAACATCATCAGTGTATATTATAAAGGACCTGAGCTCTCTGACAGTGTTAATGTCACTGCCTTTCTATTTAAAGACTGTCAGTTTCAGCAACAATGCTCAACACCTTTCACACATGCTGCTATGAAACTGAATTTTTTACTGTCTTTTTATTATTATTTTTTCCTTTTAGCTCAACATTTGCTTCAAATGTCTCCTGGACAATGCTGTCTCAAATTCTTTACTGGAAGGATACCACAGAAGAAAATAGTCTCTGTCATCAAGACTCACAGCGCCTGTCTGGAAAAAGCATTTGTGTATGTCACCACAATGACTAATTACAGTAAAACACAAAACAGAATGCATGAAAACACAAGGCACAGCGTGGTATCTTCTGTCCTAACTCTCTTGTAATCTTCCTGCAGGATCGGTACAGCCACCGGGAAGCGCATCTGTGTGAGCCAGAGCGTCACCTGGGCTCAAAAAGCTTTTGCATCAATGACCAATCTGCAGAACGATGATAAATAAAGCTCTTCAGAGTTCATGATCAAGCATAATAAAGCTTTGTGTTATGTTAACCCATGCTAGCAATTTTATAAGACAGCTGCAGCCTGGGTTTTGTACCGGGCATTTTGTTTTGGACCCAGTTTCCCGTTTGATATTCTCCTTTTTATATTTTTGGAGTTTTCAGTTTGGATGTTACCTTTGCCTAGGTTATGTTTTTATTCTGATATTGTTAGGTGTTAAGTTTTTCCTGTCCTCCTATGTTCCCCTAGTTCTGTTTTGCTGTAGTACTTCCTTGATTTAGTTCATCTCTGTCTTCATTTGTACTATGGGTTTGCAGCTGCCAACTAAATAAAGGTCAGTCTTTGGTTATTCAAGGTTGCCTCTAAGTCTGCATCTTTGGGTCCATTTCCTGCCTCATCATTAAAGAACGACACGGCCGCAGAATGGAACCAGCAGACCACGCCATGCTTTTGGATGGGAGCTTACTGGAGAGTTTTCATGGCTTCTCAGGATTTAGGCCCAGATATCTGATTCCAAAGATATCAAGGTACTAACAATTGCACTATCAGATATGAAAAGCATAATCAACTAGCATGCTCAGCTGCTTCCATTCCCAACTATTTTGAACATGCACTCCACAAACACCCACAACCGAGAACAAAAATTAAAATCATTCACACCCAGTGTTGGGAAGGTTACTTTTAAAATGTATTCCATTACAGAATACAGAATACATGCCCCAAAATGTATTCTGTAACGTATTCCGTTACGTTACTCA